AAAAATATCAACTCAGAGAAACGTAGACAAAAATGCAACATAGATCAAAAGCACGCCAATAGAGGACCAGTATCAACAATAAGAATAACCATCAGGAACAGTCCTAACTGTTAACTAATCTCCACGGATGTGAGCCCACTATATAAACCCAGGAACCAGAGAAGGGAAGATTCACCCTTCATGGTACTGTCCACCTATTTAGGAATGCTGTCGAACTGGTTGCAAATAAATTTCGGAGCTCAGTGAACAAGTCGACAAATAATGAATCCATCCGAGCTACTAATAGTCGTCAACCGTTTCATCAGTTTGCTCACTGTTCCGCATCACCTGGCAAAATGGACTAATTTTGTACTAAGTAGGTGAGCTCTTTTGAACGGATGGCAATAACGGCAAACAATTATAGTGTTCGCCGTGTTTCATGGTAGCGATTGTTATTCTCTACTCAACCGTGCATAGGTCCTACCAGCAGTTTGAAGTGTAAGGTTTGATTAACTTCGGAGACATAGTTGATTGAATATGTCTGACACTAGATATTCACAATTCTCCAAGCTTTCGAAACAACTAGTTTGTTTGATGTGGTTTGATTTATACCGCTACCAATATTTTGTGCCTCAGCGTCCCAAAGCATCCATTTTTCTTGCGTTTGTGATGGAATACTATAGTTTGTTCGAATGGTCCGGACGGATTGGCTCAGAATTCGTTATTTCGGATGGTAAAACTTGTGGTTTTATCTTCATAGCTTATTCACTGATTTGAACCATTCACTGTTTATTATTATTCGTCCATAAACCCCCGTTGGATCACAGAAAATATGCCACTCACCCCGATCGTGTGGACGAGAATTTATTTGATTGACCTCAGCTTAAAGATGGTGTGAGGGTCGTCAGTGCAGAGAAGCTAACCTTGGTCATCCAAACTGATGAAGAATAAGCAGAAGAAAGGTGCTTTCTCCCAATTACAGGACGAGACCGTGTGATCAAGGAAGTAGTTTCCGTAGGATCCACTGAAGAAAACACTCTTGACCCAGCACTAAAAGCTATTGTTTTATCGCGAATTCGCTGTGTTGTGTGTGTCAGGAAAATGTTCTACGCATACAAGCTCGGATTCAGAAAACCCTAGAAAACGAATATGGTCCCAGATGGCTACAACGCAGCAAAAAATTTGTAACTTGGATTAAAAATTTGCAAAGTCGAAACATGGAGAAGCCGCTAAGTTATTGTAAAATAAGAATCCAGTTGCCTGATGAAGCATAAGTATAGTCTACATGGTAATTCCCCACTAGTCCTGGGAGTCGGACATCTGTGTTTAGACGTCTGCGTCCTAGGGTTTGTTCAACCCCTGACTGTCTCGTGGACTCACGCAACATGTGGACGTCTATACTGATCGATATGCATTGTGGGCTACCAGTGCATCACTGGTTCACCAACTAAGGTTGGACACGGGTAACCTCGGTCCATTTGTTTATCAGTGCCCGTCCGACTGTACTAAGGGGGTCTAGTGGGATCAAGTAAGCCTCGTCCTACTGTACAATGGAAGATCAAAATATACGTGTGTTCGCGTTATACCGTATACTGATTTGGATGATTCTGGTTCTGGAACGAACAGTTAATTGAACGTAATTTTAGTCCACAGTTGATCACATCAATCCTTTTGTTAACTTTTGACCTTTGTGAAGGTTTTGATAATCATGAATTGTCAGTATTCACTAGACTTCATTCTCGAATCCCATAAGTATTTCTCCATGTGCTGAAAAGTGTATTAAACGAAGTGTTCGAAAAAACGGCTGAAAAACCATAATTT